CAACAACTTCCAAAATTATTAACAACTTTGTATGATAAGAAAAAATATATAATACATTATGAAACACTAAAATTATATATTAATTTAGGTTTAAAGATAGAGAAAATTCATAGAGTATTAGAATTTAGTCAATATCATTGGTTAAAAGTTTATATTGATTTTAATACTAATCTTAGATCAGAAGCTAAGAATGAGTTTGAAAAAGAATTTTTCAAATTAATGAATAATAGTGTTTATGGACGTACTATGATGAATGTTCGAAATCATGTTGATATAAAATTATGTTCTAATGCATCCCAACTAGAAAAATTAATTACAAAACCAAATTTTGATCGAAGGACAATTTTTACAGAAAATTTAGCTGCCGTACATATGAAAAGAACACAAATATCTTTCAAACAACCAATATATGTAGGAATGTGTATTTTAGATTTATCTAAAATGTTAATGTATGATTTTTATTATAATATTATAAAGAAAAAATATGTAAATAGAGTTAGATTGTTATATACAGATACAGATTCACTAATATTAGAAATAAAAACTAAAGATTTTTATCAAGATATGAAAATTATGTTAGATCATTTTGACACTTCAGATTATCCAAAAGATAATATTTATGGTTTACCTTTAGTTAACAAAAAAGTTTTAGGCAAGTTTAAAGATGAGTTAAATGGAACAATAATGTCTGAATTTATAGGTTTAAGATCTAAATTATATTCTCATCGAATCTTAGATACTGAAAAAGAAATTAAAAAAGCTAAAGGTGTTAAAAAAAATGTTGTAGAAAATAAAATATGTTTTAATGATTTTGAAAAATGTTTACTAACAAAAGAATCAAAATATGTTAAACAAAATTTATTTAGAACTAAAAAACATGATATTTTTACTGTAGAACAAAACAAAAAAGCTCTAAGTGTGTATGATGATAAAAGATTTATTTTGGAAAATGGTATTGATACATTAGCTTGGGGACATTATAAAACAAATATAGATAGAAATGATTTTGTAAACCATCTCAATACATTGATTAGAAATCAAAATCAAAAAGATTAGAAAAATATTTTTAATAGAACAATGTTAAAAAAAAATTTTTTTTACTAACATAAATAATAGAAATGGAAAATTGTAAAAAACTTTTAGATATGATCCAAAGATATAAAAATATACTAAAAGAGTTATCAGAAATTGAATCATCTATGTATAATTTAGAAACTCATGTATCATCTTTATATCAATCTTATGATAATAAGTATAGTTACAATCGTTACAAAAACAATTTTAAGAAATTATTTGATTATTTTAAGAAAATTCATAATGAATTAGCGAATCATATAATGAATAATTGGTTTGAAATTTAATGTTCACTGGTTTGTTGTTAGACTTTTTTAATAGAACAATTCTATTAAAAAATATTTTTTAATACACTATATTACATTTCGATTTTAATTATTAATATCATAAGTATTATGAAAAATATTTTGGGGGTGAAAATGTATTTAATAAGTTTTGCGAAAAATTTTTTTAATTATTATTGCATTTCAATTTTTATTTTTAATAATTAAGTTTTGTGAAAAATGTTTTTATTATTATTGCATTTCATAAGTTTTGCGAAAAATTTTTTTATTATTGCATTTCATAAGTTTTGCGAAATTTTTTTTTAATTATTATTGCATTTCAATTTTCTGATCTTTTTGCACATTGTTTTCTTTGTGATCTTTTACTGATATATTATTATTAAAGGTGCACCTTAAAGGTGCTGCGCCAGGACTGGTATATATATACTACTGCCCCCTTTGCATGCAGAAAATGTGAAGGTCGTCATAACACATTGTTACATCTAGACAATTTTGGTACAAAGAATAGCAGTGAGGTGACACAGAAGGAAAAGTCAGATGTTCAGGCTAGTACGTCCAAAGAAGTTGAAAGTAACACTGCGTTCTCAGGTACGATATCAACACAAACAACTGTAGTATTAGGTACTGCTGTCGTTCGGGTACAAGATATCACAGGTGTTATGCATCAGGTCAGAATTTTGCTAGATAGTGGGTCACAGATTTCAGCCATTACAACAGATTGTGCTACTAGACTTGGTCTTAAACGTAACAAGAGCCATGTAGAAGTGGTTGGCCTCTCTCAACAACCGGTGTCCAAGGTAAAAGGGGTCACTCAGTGTGATTTTTTCCCTCTTCAGTCAGAGCAACCACGTTTTAAGGCAAATAATGTTATAATATTGTCCCAAATTACTGGATCAATGCCAACCTGTTCACTTCCTGCCACTGTTCGCACACGGTATCAACACTTAGTACTAGCTGACCCGGAATTTGATCAGCCTGGTACCGTGGACATGTTGATAGGTGGTGATTTATATCCGATGGTTTTACAATCCAAAGCTGACATTATCCATACTCCTGGATTACCATCAGCAATGCACACTAACCTTGGGTGGATAATTGTTGGTTCAATAAAGGATTCCACTGCATTACCTCTTATGTCATTAACCATTAGTACAGTACCAGTCCTGAATGAAACTCTGCAACGATTTTGGAACTGTTCCAGTACACTCGACCACCGAAGACGAACGATGCGAGGAGTGGTTCTGTAAAACAGTGTCACGGGACACAACAGGCAGATTTTGCGTTGCTCTCCCTTTTCGGTCTACAATAGAAGTTCAAGGTAATCTAAATCAGGACTTGAGTACATCAAGTGGTCTTGGTTCTTCGCGTTTTATGGCTCAAAATCGGCTGTTTAATATTGAACGTCGTTTAGCAAAGGATCCTGAACTATATTCCGCGTATCGTGACTTCATGGATGAATATCTGTCACTCGGTCACATGCGCCTAGCTGATAAACCAGGAAAATATTGTATCCCACATCATGCGGTAGTGAAACGGGAAAACGAAAAAATAAAAATTCGGGTAGTCTTTGATGCGTCGGCCAAGTCATCTTCTGGTTTGTCACTCAACGACTGCTTGGCAACCGGACCAAAATTACAAAGTGATATCACCGACATATTACTTCGTAGCCGTTTCCACAAGTTCTTGTTCATCGCCGACATTGAGAAGATGTATAGGCAGATCCGAGTCAATGATGCAGATTGTGCGTATCAACATATACTGTGGCGAAATTCGCCCACTGAAGAAGTCAAAGAGTACGAATTATGTACTATCACTTATGGTGTCAACGCAGCTCCGTTTTTTTGGCAATCAGATGTTTACACCAACTGGACTCAGAAAATGGAACCGAATTTCCTTTGGCAAAAAATCTGTTAGTTACATCAACGTATGTTGACGACATTGTGGCAGGTGCTGATACCGAAAAGGAAGCGCTGGAGCTTCAGGATCAAGTCATATCCCTATTACGCAAAGGTGGGTTCAATTTACGAAAATGGGCCAGCATATGTGAGGCAGTATTAAAAGGTATAGCTGCTGAAGACCGCGCAATAGACTCATCCTTTGAACTTAAAGATGACCAATCAGTAAAGGTATTAGGTTTACATTGGAGTACTACGTCGGATGCCTTAGGCTACCACATTAACATCAACAAAGTCGAACCAACCAAGCGCGCCATACTTTCTACCATCGCTCGTCTAAACGATCCTGTTGGCGCGTTGGGCCCTGTGGTATTTTGGGCCAAGTGCATTATGCAAGAATTGTGGATAGAGAAGTTAGATTGGGATGCGTCGCCTTCGTCCGACATAATTGATAAATGGCATAAGTTCACAACTGAACTACCTGCGTTATCTTCCTTCTCACTCTCTCGTTATATCAACGTATGCGCGTCAAAAACCATACAGTTATTGGGTTTCGCGGATGCTTCTAAAAAAGGATACGCGGCGGTGGTCTATTTGAGAGTCATTGATATGCAGGATGAGGTAACGGTCCATTTTCTTACGGGTAAAACAAAAGTCGCCCCTCTTAAGGCATCACAGACGGATGAGTCACTGACAATACCACGGCTAGAGTTGTGTGCCGCCTTGTTACTTGCGCGACTGCTGTCTCATCAACTCTCCGTGCTTCGTGATATCGTAACGATAGATTGTGTTCGAGCATGGAGTGATTCTACCATTGTCTTGGCTTGGCTTAATGGGGACCAAAAGCAGTTTAAAATATTTGTTACTAATCGGGTGGCGAAAATTCGTTCTCTTCTGCCACACTGTGAATGGTCTCATGTACGATCACCGGATAACCCTGCAGATCCTGCATCGCGAGGCATGCTGCCTGAAGAACTTCTTACCAATCAATTATATTTAAATGGTCCAGAGTTTCTGCAAGATGCCAATTGTCAGTTTTCAAGTTTGATGCCGAATGAGTTTTCACCTGAGCAACTGCCAGAGATAAAAACCTCAGTTAAAAATGTTTTATATGTTCAGGACAGTATCCAGTCTTCAGACATGATCAGTCAATTTTCAACATTAACAAAAATGCAACGTGTGTTGGCGTACTGTTTTCGTTTCGCCCGTCGTCGAAATATTCCCAAGAGCAGTGGACCAATCACTCGGATGGAATACGAACGTGCCCTGAACGCAGCTATTTTATGTACGCAAATGACATATTTGTCGGATCTACATAAACAGATCCAAAATCAAGGTTCCATAACTCCGACAACGATAGCCCAGCTAGCTCCCTTTATCGATTCAAATGGAATCATTCGAGTTGGCGGAAGATTAAAACGTGCGCTATTAGATGAAAATGCAAAATATCCAATTCTTTTGCCTCAAAAGACACATCTTACAGAATTAATCATTCGACATTTTCATCATATCTCGTTACACGGAGGATCAAGATTGGTACTTTCGATGATACATCAAAAATTTTGGATTATTTCTGGTCGAGCAGCTGTCCGTAATTTTACTTATTCTTGTATTCCTTGCACAAAATTTAGAAGTATAAACCCAAGACCTTTCATGGGGGATCTACCAGCTGCTAGAGTTGTAGCGAATCGACCATTCTTTAACGTCGGAATGGATTATGGCGGACCTTTCATGGTTCGTGAGAGTCGACGTCGCGGTGCGCGTACCAATAAAATATATTTAGCTGTATTTGTATGCATGTCAGTGAAGGCTGTGCATTTGGAAACCGACCACAGACGCGTTCCTCGCCGCCTTGGACAGATTTGTTGCTCGACGTGGAATTCCTGACAGCATGTACACCGATTGCGGTACAAATTATGTAGGTGCTGCAAAACAACTGAAGAAACTGTTTGATGAAGCTTCCAATCAGCATACCTTATATGGTCGTATACCTTGCAAGTGGCACTTTAACCCACCGGGAGCCCCTCATTTTGGTGGGATATGGGAGCTGCTGTCAAAAGTGCAAAAACCCATTTAAAGAAAGTGATTGGTGCCCAAGTATACACTACCGAGGAATTCACCACACTCATAACGCGAATCGAAGGCGTGTTAAACTCTCGGCCGATGCTACCGCTGTCCAGTGATCCAAATGATTTAAACGTGTTAACCCCAGGTCACTTTATAATTGGACAACCATTGCTAGCAATTACTCCGTCAAGCTCAACAGTCATTTTGGCGTCGATGGAGCAACGAATATCTGCATACACTACAGGGAAGTCAAAGGTGGTTTAAGCAGACACCAAATCTAATGGTTGGCGATCTTGTAGTTATAAACACACCATCACGACCACCCATGGCCTGGCAGATAGGTCGAATCATTGAGGTTCATCCAGGTGAGGACAACATTGTGCGTGTAGCGACCGTCAAAACCCAAGAAGGCACCCTCAAACGTCCTGTTGTCAAGCTGGTAAAACTTCCAGTTGATCCAAGACCTTAAAAAAGGCTCCCATATTACCGATATCCTTAACATTTTTTTTTTTTGTTCTTTGTATATACACATTGTAATTATAATTATAACTCGTTTTGTTTTGTTTCGTATTTGTACTATGATACAGTCTGACCGAGAAATGTGTTTTCCTTTTGAAAGCATACTTTCAAAAGGGGGGAGGATGTTCAGACCCGAGCACTAGAGCGCGCCCGATAATTAAAAAAAAAGAACGTTTCGATTCCGGTCACGCATGCGCCGCTGTCACCGGTAGACCTCTGTCCCGATCGCTCTCTGTCGAACGTAGTCGTGTGTTGTTGTCGATACTTGTCGCAGCCGTTACCGACCCGTCTCGTCAATATACAATGTTATAAAAGCCGTGTGTGCCGTTTTTTGACGATTTTCTATAATTGCATGTGTAGCCGTGCCTTTTGTTGTGCCGTCGCCACCGAGCGTGAGACCAGTAAGCCGTTTGTTTTTCATTTTAATATTGTGGTCTCGTCGCGCGTCGCCGACCTACGAGGACTGCCGGTTCTTAACGTACGTTTGGATAACGTCGTTGTGTTGTTGTGTCGCCGCCATTTGCGCCCGTTGCGCACATGTTCGTTTATTTGTGTTCGTCACCTTCCGCCGCCTTGTTGTCATGTCACAGGCGCGGAAAGTTGCACGTTGTTGAGAATCCATCGTGGCTCAGCTAAATTCGTTTTTTACCGGTTCGGTTCGTTAAAATAATTCAAAACCATCGTGCACACGATGTCGTATTGATTGGTCATTGTCGGTACGTCGCATAGTGCAAATACACCTGCCCGGACGGAAACAAATGCTCCAGTCAACTTCAGCCAGGTCAGACGTATCATACCCTCTTTTTTTTTGTTATTATTCTGTTATCAAAGCTCGTACGCAGTCTGTTGTTTGTAGTATCAATTCCATGATTTTTATTTTTATTATTTGTAATTTGTATAGGACTAACATAGCATTAAGTTTATTCTCGTGTATGCTGATGAATTAATTCTATATGTACAATAAATTTATACAGTCCACTATTCAGGATATTTGATCGTTTCTTATTACTTTTTTATATATTTATATTATTAAGAATCAATCAGGTTTTTACCAGCTCGATAGTTGAGATACAACCGTGTTCATGTTGAATCGGCTATCCTGACTAAACACACGTGTCAAGGCTGACTACATATACTACATATTAATTGTATATTTCAACACCCTCCCTCAATTAATAATCTCTTTAATTGTAGTCACTCCTATGGCTGACCGCAACTTCTCGAATCGTTCCTTAACCAAAGGCTTGGTTAGAATGTCCGCAATCTGGTCCTCTGTTCCAATGTACTGTAGTTGGAATTGTCCCTCTTCGTATTTCTCCCGTATGAAGTGGTACCGTACGTCTATATGTTTTGTCCGCTTATGAAACTCCGGATTCTTAACTAAACGTATAGCACTCTGATTATCTATAAATAAAACTGGTTGTTTGTCACCTGTTGTCGATAAGCTTGTTATCAACCGTGTAATCCACAAGATCCCTTTGACAGCTTCACTGGCCGAAATATATTCAGCCTCGGTCGATGACAATGACACACAATGTTGTCTCTGCGATGTCCATGAAATTATGCTCGACCCGTATCTGAATAGAAATCCTGACGTTGAACGTCGTGTCTGAACGTCACCTGCGTTATCTGAATCGCTAAATATTTCTAATGACAATTGTGTATTATGATTAAAATACAAGCCATAATTAAATGTTCGCTTGATATATCGTATAATCCGTTTTACCAAGTTCCAATGAGCTTTAGTTGGTTTTGCTAAGTAACGACTAGCAAAGTTTACTGCATATGCTATATCTGGTCTTGTTACCTGTGATAAGAACAGTAAGCTACCTACTGCCTGCCTATAAGGAATATCTTCATTCAATATTTCGGTATCTTCTTTTTTGTTCAAGTGTATGTGATTTGTCTAATGGTATTGAAAGTTCCTTGGCTTTATCTTCGTATCCTGGTGGTTGTACCATGTAAATTTCTTCCTGTAGTTCTCCGTACAGAAATGCTGTCTTGATGTCGAATTGTCGTAGTATTAATTTTTCCACAGCTGCTACTGCGAATATCGCCCTAATTGATTCGTATCTGACCACTGGCGAAAATGTTTCATGGTAATCTATACCGTATTTCTGTGAACAACCTTTAATGACCAATCTGGCCTTAAATTTATCGATATTACCGTCACTTTTATATTTAGTTTTGAACACCCATGCGTTACGTAACGCAACCTTGCCCTGAGGCAAATTAACTAGTGACCAAGTGTTGTTTATGTGTAGTGATTTAATTTCATCACTCATAGCGTGCTCCCACTCGTTTTTCTGTGGGCCAGCTATCGCTTCATCACGATTTAGTGGTTCAACGAGATTGGCGACGAACGACGACACATTATACCTGATCGGCGCTTTTAATGTATTCCGATCACGTAGCACCATGCCACTCCTGTTGTCGACCGTCGTCAATTCGACCTTGACCGGATCGCCCTCGACTTGAGTCTGAGTATCTGTGAATTCTAATTTGTCTGCAATTATATTTTCCAATTTATTACCTTCGTTTTCGAATATAATATCTCTAGACATTGATATTCTATTTGTTTTAGAATAATACACACGATAACCTTTCGTGTTATCCGAATAGCCAACAAATATTCCTTTTTCACTTTTAGGGTCCCACTTTTTACGTTTTTGCTTTGGTATGTGTATATATACGACAGTACCAAAAACTCGTAAGTGTTTAATGTCTGGCATTACCTTATAATATAACTCGTATGGTGAGTTATTTTTAACTGAAC